TACCAGAATTAAGAAGAGGTCCAACCAGGGTGAATAACGGTCGAGGATTTCCTCGACCATAGCTCTCTACCATGCGAGAGTAGTGCCGAGAGTGAACATCCGCGCGGAGAGCACAGACGGCACACGGCATGGCGAGTGTGAATGTCCGCGCGAGAGATCGTCTCTGATCGGGCAGAGAATCCTCGACGTGCCGTTGAGGAATCCTCAAGCGATATTCACCCTGGTACGAATGCTGGCAGTGCGGTTAATTGCAAGCATCTGAAAAAATTAAAGCAAGGCTTTCCAAAAGCCGTCCACCGAGTACAGTAGCAGTCGGTTTTCACAGCTTAGCTTTTAGTATTAATACATTATGTTTCATTACTCAATTGCTTTCAGATATTGACTTCATCAAGAAACTTTCTACCAGCTGACTGCACCCCACTTGCTTCGAACTACCTGGTCAGCTTGGATTGCAGCAGTTTGAAGATCAAAGCTATCCCAGAAGGTATTGTGAAGAACTCGATTTTACAATATTTGGTTTCAGATATGGGGGCTTCATTTTTTGGGCTCATGTACTTGGGGAGTAGGATTGCGTTTTTTGGGCGCTAATTTACTTGGGAAGGGGAAATTTCTGCACACGTTACCGGTCCATTCGAAACGGACAAACACGTTATTCTCTTCTCAGAATGATCAGAACAAGTACTTTTTATATTCACGTGGCGGTGCGCACTCCGCCTCGGCGAGTGACAACTTTGTTTATTTCTTGGAAGAAGTACGTGGGTCATACTGGGATGATGCGAACATAAAGTTCGAAGTTTATCATAGTAGCGCTTTCTTTGAGGACTAAGCCCAGGGAGGGAGAGACTTCACCCAGTTTGCGCGACAGTTTTTGTTTTCTCGGATGTTCCTTTCCCTTCTCAGCGTAGTCCCTGTAGATTCTGCCATCTCGCCACTTTATTTTTTATTTGCATGTACAAAAGTACATGGAAAAACACAACAAAACTGTGCCAAGACGTAACAACACAACTGGAAAAATAAACATCATAAGAAAATGAAGTAGAACAACAAAATTTTACTAGTGAATATGATTGTCCATCCTCTAAAAATCAGATTTGAAAATGAAAAATTTGAAGCCCTTAAGTATAGAATTTTGTAAATATTTTCTTTAAGTGCGATAAACTGCTGGGCATGGCGAATTTTTTGGTGAGCTTACCAAATTCACTAGAAGCGCGAAGAGAAAAAAAATTTGCTCTGGTGTTGGATCTAGCAAATGGACGAACTAATTTGAACTTTTCTCCTCTAGTAACAGAAGGAAGAACAGTGAAGAGGCTTTGCAAATCAATCGGCACTTTCCCGACAAGTATTTTGAATAACATAATGAGATCAGTCTTTTCCCTTCTGCGAAGAAGAGATTCCAGACCAAGCATTTTGTTCCTGACAACAGCCCTGGGTATGACATTGTAGTTGAAACCTAAAGAACGGACCAGAACCTTCCTAGTAAAGCTGTTTTGAACAGACTCTAACCTGGAGATGGTCTTCTTCTTGTGGGGAAAGAAAATAATCGATCCATACTCCAGAATAGGACGGATGTACGACTTATAAGCCTTGATGAGGATACATGGATCTTTGGTGTATAGAGTGCGAAAGAGTTGTAATAGCCTGACTTCAGCTTTATTGGCTATAGCGGCGCAATGTGACTCGAAATTCAGCTTGTTATCAATGAGAAATCCCAAGTCCCTAACCGCTTCAACCTCATTGAGTTCGCAACCACCTATGTAGTAGGCGCTCCTCTCCTGGGGCCTGCCTAGATGCAAAACCAAAGTTTTGTTGGAAGCCAATGGTAGCTCCCACACATCGGACCACTTGACAACTGCCTCAATGGCTTCTTGGAGCGTCTCAGCATCCTCTCCGAGATCCTATTTCCTGGTAAATCTTGACATCATCTGCGAATGCTTTGCATTTGACATTCAAATCCTCCACCACCCTAGGTAAGTCGTATGTATAGATACAAAACAACACCGGTGAAAGAACCCCTCCTTGCGGGACACCACTTGGGGCAGTCTTAACACTAGAAAAGGCTTTGCCAATTCGAACTTGAAAGCAGCGATGACTCAAGAAGGCCTTGATCCATACTAAAATCTTGGGTGAATGCCGATGTGTTTGAGCTTAGCGAAGAGCTTGGAATGGTTCACTTTGTCAAATGCTTTACAAAAGTCAAAGTAAACCACATCAACGTTTTTCTTCTTTTCCAATGAGGTTGTCCAATCATTTAAAGATTCCAGCAACTGAGTAACCGTCGATCTCGCTTTCCTAAAGCCATGCTGGCAGTCGGGTAAGATCCGCTGACGTTCAAGGTGTTCTACGACGACCCTCTTGACTACTCTTTCGAAAGCTCTACAGAAAACCGAAGTGATGCTGACCGGTCTGTAATTGTTTGCGTCCGAATATGGAGGTTTCTTAGGGATGGGAACCACATAAGAGAGCCTCCATCTCCTAGGAACCTCAGCTCGAACAAAACTCAAAGTTAAATATGAATCGCAAGGGCAATTAATCGAGGGGCAGCGCACTTCGCGTGCGCGAACTACTTTAGCACGTAGGATTTTTGAGATTTGGGAGAACTGTGGAGTGGAAGAACAATTTTTTGGGGCTAGAAGAATTGGAAAATGGGTAGCCCATTTTGGAGAATGTTACCTCGAATTAGTCAGACTCTCCAGTGTTTCCCTTTGCTGTCACTCTCTATACTTCGTTGAATTTAAAATAGATAAAACTTTTGGCGTTGGTGAAACTCTTTTCAAGATTTTACCACGCACTCCACTCTCATTCAGA